CCCCTGCTGTCTCTGGCTGGGATCCAGGGGAAAGCCCCTCAGGGCCACTGGAGTTTCCTTAGTGAGCCAGTGGGAACTCTGTCTTGTCCACATCCTGTAGAGAGAGCCAGCCCATCCCCCTCAGGCCACAGGGGGACCTGCCTGACTCCTGCCTGCGGCAGCTCCCAAAACTGGGCGCACTCTGACCTGGACTCCCAGGGTGGGGGCTGAGGCCTTTGGGTCCAGATCTCCAAGAGCTAAAGAAAGACCCCATCACCCCCTCCTCTGCCTCCTCCTCCTGCAGGGTTCCTGTGCCTGTGCACTGAGAATGTCCTGGTCTTTGTCTTGGGTATCACCATCCTGGGTGTGTGCCACTACACGCTTACTGTCAAGGGCAGCCACCTGGCCGTTCATGGTGCCCTCACCGAGTCCAAACGCTGGAGCAAGATCTGGCTGCTTTTCTTTGTGGAGGTGAGCCTGGGAGAGGGAGAGTGGGACAGCTGCTGGTGCCGGGTGGGCAACCGCGTTATTTCGTGCAAGCAGGCAGGTGTGTGCAGCTGTGTGTGTGCTCACGTGGGCAGCTGTCGACCTGTAGACCCAGATGTTCAATATGCAGTGCAGGGCGTGTGTGTGTGTGTGTGTGTGTGTGTGTGTGTGTGTGTGTGTGTGTGTGTGTTTGTGCGTGTGCGCGCACACATCTCCAAGCCCGTGAGAGGGTGTTTGCAACCAGTGGGTGGAGAACTGCATGGTGAGTATCCAAGTGCCTATCTGTGGCTATAGACTTGGCCCAGGCACATCCACTTGCCTCTCTACAGCGCTGGGCCAAGAGATGACTGGCACCTCCTCCTTCTACCAGGACATTAATGGTTGGCAGGTGCTGGTGGGTGACGGTCATTGTCCTGGCCCACAGGGCAACCTTTGCAATCAGGTTTTGCCATCAGGGTTTAAAATGTGAACCACACTCAGAAGGGGAGGGGGAGGAGGGGCCTAGTGTCACAGTGTCCCCACTCCTGATCATACTCCTCTGTCACCTGGAGATGGCTGAGCCACACTGAGAAACCCCCAGCCCCAAGATCTGCTCCAGAGAGGAGCCTCCTCTTTCATGACTTTTGCCCTTTTTTCTTCCACCTGCTGCAAGTCCTGCTCTTGCTTTGGCCTTCTCACCTACGGCCAAGCCCAGGAGGGCAAAGATTTCTGGCCAGGTTTCTCTCCGGACTGGTTACCAAGTCTCTCTTGTTCCTCTGTGAACCTGCTCCCTCTCTTCCAGGGGACTGTCACCTGGCCACGCAGGTCCCTTATGAATAAATAGGGAAGGCTGGTACCAGAAACAGCTTTTTAGCCAGGCGTGGTGCCTCACGCCTGCAATCCCAGCACTTTGGGAGATGGAGCCGAGAGGATTGCCTGTGCCCGGGGGTTTGAGACCAGCCTGGGCAACATGGCGAGACCTCGTCTCTACAAAAAATCAAAAAATTAGCTGGGCGTGGTGGTGTGTACCCATAGTTCCAGCTGCTTGGAAGGCTGAGGTGGAAGGACTGCCTGAGTGAAGCAGGTAGAGGCTGTGGTGGCTGTGAGCGTGCCACTGCACTCCAGCCTGGGTGACAGAGTGAGACTCTGACTCAAAAAAAAAAAAAAGAAACAGCTTTTTTTTTTCTCCTGGCAAGGACTAGTTATTGTGACCAATCAATTCAACTATTAACTTTTTATGAAGTTATGTAACTATACACACATGTATGTAGCATATCTATAATACTATACCGCATCAGCCGAGTGGGGTAACATTTCCCACCTAACACTCTTTGTACCCCGCTTTTCCCCCTTCCCCACCCCTTCCACCAGCACACATTTTTAAAGTGCTGAGGATGAGAGGAACCAACAGGCTCCTGATCCTCGGGGTCAATTTCAAGACACTTCCTTTCCCAGGAAGCCCTGGACTTTGGTCCCAACCAGACTCTGAGGCATGGGCCAGACCCTGGAGTCTGGCTCAGATACTCACGGAGTTTGTAATCCACAGAGAGAAGCAGGGGAGACATTGGGCTGTGCTGGCGACATGGGCAGTGTGGTAACCACTGGGATGGGCGCAGAAGGAGCTCTGTTTGGATTTTTTTCAAAGCTGTACCGCATGCCAGGAGTACAGCTGAGGACAAGAAGCAGGTACTGAGAATTGTGAACCACTTGGCTGCAGGGGGTTTCTTGTCCAGAGATGATCTAGTGGTTCTCAAACTTTGGTGTGTAGCAGAGTGACCTGGAGGCCCAGGCTTGATGAAGAAGAGGACCGGGGTCACTACATTTTTACCAAGTTCCCCAGGTGAATCTGATACCCACCAAAGTGTGATACCCACACAGTAGCTATCATGTGTGCTGAGCAAAGGCAGAAAGCCAAGGACACCTCCTCTGAGAAGGCTTCCAAGACTCCCTCATTGGAGACCTTTTCTGGAGAGCTCACCTGGCCTGCCCTGTGAGACCCCAGGCAGCCTCAGGGCTACATTCTGCTGGCTGCACACTATCTTGTTCCCGTGAGCCCAGACCAGTGGCTTCATCTTTGCCAACTTTGTCTCTTCAGCTCCTGGCACAGCCCTGAGCTCTTAGAAGGTCTCCTGTCAATATTTGTTGTCAATGGCCAGGGGACAAGGTCCAGGGAAAAACTGGCGTATGGAAGGTCCCATCCTAGAGGCCTGTGAACCCCCTTGAGGCTGGGGTGGGGAGGCCTGGCTCCTGCCTCGTGTTGTGACACCTGGCTGGTGTCACAAGGGGCCGGGGGGCAGGACACAGGAACTTTGTCTCTCAGGCCCTTGTTCCCAGGGTGGGGGAGGGGATGGATCAGCCTCCCCAGCCTGGCTGGCATTGGTGGGGGGAGGTTGCTGGTCTTGTCTGACGGGCAGGATGAGGCCGGGGACAGTGTCTGGGGCACAACCTTTGAAGTCACGGTCGGAATCCCAGCTCCACTGGCTGCCCTGACCTTGGGCAAGTTACTTGATGCAACATCTGAGTGTCAGTTTCCTCCTCTAATAAGCAAGAGTAATGACATTACCTCCCTCGTGAAGCCAGCGTGTGGATTAAATGAGACAGCGCAGGCTTTGCTGGTCCTGACTCTTAGATGCTCGAGGGTAGACATCCCTTTCTTTCTCTGGAGGGAACGTGTGGTCAGTTGCAAGGAAGGGGTGAGCAGTTGTTATTGTTGTTTGCTTTGTCACTGTCGTTTTGTTTTTGTTAGCTGAAAGCTTGCCTAACTCCACAGAGCTGTGCATATGCTGGGGAGGGGGTGCTATGTTTCTGGGCCTCGGCAGGTAGCAGGGGATAAGATCTCACTGCCTAGGACCTCAGGGGATGCTCCGGGACCCTTCCTGGATCTCTGACTGTCTTTTAGCAGTCTTGGTGTCATCTCTCCTTTAACCCTGCTCTTGCTGGGTGCCTGTGCTCTTCCCAGACCTTGACCTTCAGGAGACATCTTTGTTGCAGAATAATTGAGTCCCAGGCCTTGGGTTCCTTCGGGTGTTTTGCAAATTCTGCAGCCTCTGGCATCAGCTGAGTATCCTTGGCTTTCCTGGGCACCCAGCTTTTGCTGAGATTGTCTCAGGGTTTACCAACTCCAAGCTGGGGGTGGGACCAGGGCCTCACCCTCTCTGATCCATTGGATCTGGGGGAGGGGCAGACAGGATGGAGGGGGCTCTTCCAGCCCAGGTTGTTGTTTCTCTCCTAAAGTGTCCAAAATCCTGTGCTGTGCAGCTGCCCATGCCAGGTGACCTTCCCTCTGAAGACTCATTTCTTGTCTACTTGAGGAAGTTGCCTCTCTCCTGCTGGCATAACCTTGACCTTCTCTCCTGCTCACTGATAACCTTGGCCTTACCCAGCCAGAGCATCTAACCCTCCCTGTCCTGGGTCATATCATGGAGACGGTCAGGCATATTCTTGGGAACTACCAGTGAAGGGCACCACACCACGACGGCCACAGGAAGGTGAAGGGGCAGGTGGACATGCCACTGCAGTTTAAGTACTGAAGCTTGGGAAGGATTAGCTCCTGAAATCAGAGTGCTTTAGGGACTTTCGCGTGTCACAATCCAAGATGCTCCCCTGTGTGGGAGGGAACAGGCAGTGCCAGTTATTAAACTCTTTATTGTCTCAGCTTCAAATCCTCCTTGTAAAGTCGGCTTTGTGCTGTAGGTTGGAGTCACAGCTGGCTGACTGGGAACTCTGCCTTGGGGGAGGACCGTCACACAGGGGAATGCCATCACCTTCCATCAAATCCCTTGTGGGTTGGAAACAGAACCCAGAACCCCAGCTTAGTCATGACCCTGGAAGATTTTCTTCTCACAGTAGTTCAGTGTGGCCATAATCCTCTGGACTGTCTCTTTGACCTCCTCTCTGCCTGTCCCTACCCAATCCCCGAGAGGTGTTGTTTAATCTCAACTATGACTTCTTATTTTTTAATCTTAAAAATTTATTTAGGGGGCAAACTCAGATCTGCAGTACAAAAATATACTTTTGTAGAAACCTTTTTTATTTTTAAAATAAAATGGCCAGGCTTGGTGGCTCACGCCTGTGATCCCAGCACCTTGGGAGGTGGAGGCAAGAGGATTACCTGAGCTCATGGGTTTGAAACCTGCCTGGGAAACATGGGGAGACCTTGGCTCTACAATAAAACAAAAAATTAGCTGGGCATGGTGGAGCGCGCCTGTAGTTCCAGCTATTTGGAAGACTAAGGTGGAAGGATCGCCTGAGCCCAGCAGGTCGAGGCTGCGGGAGCTGTGAACATGCCACTGCACTCCAGCCTGTGTGACTCTGACTCAAAAAAAAAAAATAATAAATAAATAAATAAAGATTCACAAGACTTGCAAAAATAGGACAGAAAGTTCTGGTGTATCTCTCACCCAGTCTTCCCTGCAATGTGTGTGTGTGTGTGTGTGTGTGTGTGTGTGTGTGTGTGTGTGTGTGTGTGTTTGTGTGTGCGTGTGTCTGTGGTTCTATGCAATTTTATCCCACATGTAGGTTCTCAAAATGTTTGTTCTTTCTTTCTTTCTTTCTTTCTTTCTTTCTTTCTTTCTTTCTTTCTTTCTTTCTTTCTTTCTTTCTTTCTTCCTTTCTTTCCTTTCTTTTTTTCTTTCCTTTCTTTCTTTCCAGGATTTATTGAGAGGACAGAAAAGCTCCCACAGTGGGAGGGGACCTGAAGGGGTTGCCCTCAAAATGTATTTTCAAGTAGCCCTGCTTCTGAGAGCTTTGATGTGACTTCCTTCAGGATAAGCCTGAGGACTCCAGGAAGGGGGGCTCATATAATCCCACTCATGTAGGGTCTCTAAAAGCCTGGCTTCTGGCAGTGAGGACCCTGGAGGGTGTGTATACCACTTCCCAAGGCCAAACAGGGCTGGGGGATAAGGGGAGTACACTGGAGCAAGCCGGGGACAGTCTGTGGTGGCAGTGCTGAATGCGAGCAGTGTCACCTTGACGGATGCCCAGCTTGGGGGAGGAGCCATGGAAAG